GAGACGAAAGAGGGAAAATCATAAAGAAATTGGGAAAACACGGCTTAAATAAAAAAATCAGAGGGCATTTTCAGCAGCAAAATCGCATTGCCGGCCGCCCTGTTGTACTTTACCAATAGGTTAAATTTCCGGTTCAGTCCCTCAACTTTCATTTTTTAACTAAATTTACCCTCAAACTTCAAAAAATACTAATAAAATCCTTAAACTTCAATTTTCAAGATCAATTTCGTCCTTCTATCGATGGAAGTGCCAAATAGCACGTTGAGTTGCCACGAAATCAATTCTTGTTTGAAATATTTAATTACGTAAAAAATAACTTAACTTACTGTAATATTTTTATTGTCTACATCATTTTAATTAATTTATATATTAAAAAATTTTAAATTCCTTAAATACCCCCATCTTCATCTTCCAGCCCCTCTTTTTCTCCCTTCTCGTCTCTCTCTATCCTCAGATGTCTCTTCATCTCGCAACCCAATCAGCACCAATCATCCCTCATTGCTCTGGTCATCCTTTACCACTCCAATCACCATCTCCTTCCCTAAATCTCCTCTCCAATGGAACCCAAATATGGTTCCTCACAAAATAATAATGGCTAATAGATCTGATTCAAAAAATCAATTACATTGTAAATTTATACCAAATCTGTAAAGATTCAACAAATCAATCATATTACAAATTTATACAAAATTTGTAAAAGAAAAAGAAAAAGTAAAAAACACAATATGCCTTCAATCAACACCAGCAATAGTTAGATCTCGAATTTCAAGCAAGCAAAAGCCACACAAAACTCTAAATCCATACCAAGATGGCCAAGCATGATTGCAGCTAACAAAGAAATAGAAGAACAGAGAAACAGAAGAAAAAACCAAGGTGGGTTCGGAACCCAGGCGTGCTGGGTTCGAGGAACCTAGTTGGGTTCTTTTGAACCCAATAGGGAGGGGAAGGAGAAAAGGAAAGATAAAGAAAAAAAAAAAAGGAAAGAAATTTTTATTTATTAAATTATATTCATGTTGTCATGTCATAATATTTTTATAATTAAAAGATAGCATATCACTTATTTTATTTTCAAATAATATTCAATATTAATAGAAATTGAATTTTTTAATAGAGAATTTTGTCACATCAGCACTTAATTGACAAAAGGACAAAATTGGTCCCAAGAATTGAAGTTTAGGGATTTTTTAGTACTTTTTGAAGTTCGATAGTAAATTTAGTTCAAAAATGAAAGTTGAGGGATTGAACCAGAGATTTAACCTTACCAATACGAGGGGTGGGCATTCCGTTGGCTAACCATTCCGAACCAAAAAATGGATTTAGTTTGAAAGAATTAGTTTTGGTAAAAAAACCGATGGGTTTTTGGTTTGGTATTTTTTTTCTTTTTGGTACATCAGAAGCTATAATTTCAGCTCACTTCCTAAGGAACATGGTCCCTATATAATCACTTTGTAAGATCATATGAATATCCACCGGAGGTGTGGGAAAAGGTGTAGTGCCCAAAGTTAATTCGTGACCCATGGATGCCATAAAATCAGCAGCTAAATTCCCCTCCCCGAGAGTGTGTTGTACTAGGCACTTGCTAAAGAAATCTATCAACACGAAGATGTCCGTAAGAAGCACCGAGGCTGGTCCGGCTGATACCTGCCAATTTTGAATGAGTTGTATTGCAAGTAAAGAGTCCATTTCTAAGACCAACTGCTGTATCCCTAGAGAGTGAGCAAGCTTGAGACCTTCTCTGCAAGCCCACAACTCAGCCAAGAAACTTGTTGTGAGACCAACGTTTACAGCAAAGCCATGAACCCAACACCCATTGTGATCACGAATGAGTCCTCCAGCTGCTGCTTTGCCTGAAGGATGATTGTGGGATTTTGTTAACAGGTTTTTAGCCAAAGAAACAAAAATCTTTGCTAACAAAAACTCTTTTCTTTTCTTTTCTTTTCTTTTTTTTGTGAAAAATGATTTCTTGGAAGGATTTGTACACCATCTTGAAGGCGATTATTCTGCTTTACGTGGCGATGATCTTGGCATACAGGTCGGTGCGCTGGTGGAAGATTTTCTCGCCGGACCAGTGCTCCGGCATCAACCGTTTCGTCGCCATATTCACCGTCCCGCTCTTGTCTTTCCACTTTTTTTCCATCAACAATTCGTACAAAATGAATTACAGGTTCATTGTCGTCGATACACTTCAGAAGATTATCATGCTCGTCTTCCTTATGGTGTGGACGAATTTCACTAGGAATGGAAGCTTGGAGTGGATGATAACCATTTTCTCACTCTCTACTCTGCCCTGGTGGCATTGAGCGAATTGTTAACCCAAGCCAAAATCTAAAACGGTGCCTGTAAAAGAAAGAAGCTAAAATCCGAGCCGATAATGCCACAACCCAAAATCTAAAACGAAGTCTCGAAAAATCAAACGCCAAAGAACGATCATTTACGGCACAACCCACGTCACAAAATTAGCAAATCTAACATCTTTTCCATAATTCATGCCTCAATTCACAAAAAACAGATAACTTTAAACCCATAAGCCAAGTAATGACACTTCAAAATACCATCTAAACCACTAAAGAGACCCAGAACAAGAGAGCAAAAACACCACAAACCAAAGAAATCTCATACACAAATTCAACAACTTTAACCCACAAAACCCCAAACCCACCCCCAAACCCCTCAAAACACCCATCAAAATCACTTATTTAAGAGCATAAACTTGATTTAGCTTCCATTGAGGAAACAAACATACCTCTGTTTTGGCTCCCCGGAGAGAACAAAACAAGGGTTAACAAGGTTGTTAAGCTGTTGAAGAATGGAGCAGGTTATATGGGCTTTTATTTTGGGGTTGGATTGAGGTATTTGTCCAGGTGGCACCTCCATCTTAGCAAAAAAAAAAGCCACGTTAGACCCAGAGGAACAGTTGATGGGCAAACTGTTAAATGTTAACAGAAGCATTAAGAGGGGGCTGATTTGCCACTGCAGGTGAGTTGAAGGGTCGATTTGCGGGTGAAGTGTGTTGAGGGGGTGATTTGCCACCAGTTATTGAGTTTAGGGGGTGATTTGCACCTTTTGCCAAGTCAGATCTTCCCAAAGCTAAAGCCTCTTGCATTTGATTTGGAGAGCAGTGCGCATTTCAACATCTTCAGTAGACCTAATACAAGCCTGTTTAAAAATTTCTTCAAAAGGGCTACTTTCACTGCTGCGTTTCTTTCCTATTGTGGGTTTATTGCCCAAGGATAATTGTGTTTCCACCTTTTTAGAAAGCAGGCCCACTATAGAGTGATCACTCTCTCTCGGCCCACTCAATAGCAAGTTCAAATTGCTAGGATTGTTTGATAACTGATCAGAAGAAAGAAGTGCTGTACTGGTCATCACCGCATTTAATAATGGTGGCGTTTATGTCAGCAGAACAGTAAAAGATACTTAAGCTTCTGAACAAGGATGAGGTGTGGGTAATCATGTTAGGAGAAGATTGGAGAATACTCTCATTTAATGCACCCAACTATGGTAGCAACAGCTGGTCCTGCACGTGTTCATCTTCGTGTGGCAACAACAGCTAGTCCTGCGCATGATCATCTTCAACCTGTACGTCGCACTGCTTCTTTGAAATGTCGGCCTTGGAGAAAACCAGACTCTGTTCTGTTACTTTTATAGAACCGAGAAGATTTTCCTCAAGTAAGCCAGCTCCTTTTTGTGCCGGAACTTCAGCATGTGGCTTGTGAGGCTTCTTATCTTCACGGAGCACGCCAAAATGGTGTCTTGGTGTATAAGCTGCTGCCCTCAACTGAGGACCATATTGTGGCCTGGATTGGGAAATATAATTACCATCATCATCCTTCCATCAAAAATCATCACAAGATTTCTTGGTATGGCCTAGTATGCCACACCTATAACAAAAGTCCACAAGTTTCTCATGCTTAAATTCAACAAAGCACACTTCATCTCCTTGTTGCTTAAATTGAAATCCCGATGTGAGAGGGACATGAACATCAATTTCAACTCTTAAACGAAGGAAACTCTCTAAACCACCTAGAGAAGACTTATCCCATGAAATTAGCCGAGAGAAAAGTGAACCAACCAGCAAGACATTCTCTTGAGTCATGCATCCTTTCGGTAGGTAGGCCATGAACTTCCACCCAGAACTCACAGTATGTGAAACTGATTTCTTCGAAACGCTGTGAGACAGGCTATTCCTTGAGAATAAGATGAGAACCTTTAACAAACCAAGGAGAGTCACGCAAAATTCTATCTTTTTCCTTTTCATCTGAGAGAATAAAGATGTAAGTGTTTTTGGATTGCTCATGCAATTCTAAGCCTCCTTTTGGTCTCCAAGCGCTTTTTAAAATGCTATATACAACGCCACTATGGATATCCTCTTCATTTGCTAGTAGATGTCCGGCAAAGGAGAAGCGATGAAGCTCATCTTGATTCGATTCTTTGGTAGCAAGACGCAAAATCGGAGTCTCCGATCCTGATCGTGATTTGCCTCCTGCTGTGATAGGACAATCTGTAGCGATTTTGTCCAAAAAACAGAGTAGTATCCGGAAGGCACAGTAGAAGTTGGTAGGTAGAAATTAACACACCACTAAAGAACATTACTTGATGCAAAAGACATACATCGGCTAACCATAACCTCAGCAAAACTAGCAGGAAACTGGGAGTAGGACAGGAAAACCTAAAGGTTAAACCTTAAGAGATCAAGTGGCAAACCCTCGAAAGAGAAGCTCCTAGAACTGGTTCCCTTCCTCCACTGGTCAGTACTTTGAATGTGTAAACAAGAATAATTGGTAATTGATTTGGTTTAAACGCTCTTAAGTTATCCTTGTTTTATTATTTATTTCGCTTGATATATTATTTTTGTTTCTATTTTCGTTTTCTATTTAAATAAAAAATTAATAATTACATTAGAGTGATTACTAGCATTA